CGTCCAGGCTGGCATAGCCCTCGAACTGCAGGGTAGTGTTGGGGAAGGCAGCCTGGCAGCCCAGTCGGTGGCCGTTGGCCTCCCTAGTGGGCACGAAGTGCAGCAGCGACACCTGCACCCAGGTGCCCTCGTCCTCGCGCAGCCGACCCAGCACAGTCGGCTCCCCCAGCCCCTCATGGCCCAGCCAGGTCAGCTCAGGCCGCAGCTCCGGGCAATTGTCTGGCACCATGCAGCTGACCTCCACTTCCTTCCCTGCCACTACCTCCGGGGGTACCACGATGTTGGGGGTGTCTGGGGGAAGGGGAAGAAGAGATGAGGAGGCAGCACTGGCCGCCAGTCACCCCCACCTTGTCCAACTCCGTCCCTGGTATCGTGTCCCCTCCCGTGTGCCCGGACGCTCAGTTCCCCACAGCCTTCTCCTCTCCTGACTGTTCTTCAACCGGAAGCCCTCGCACATCTGATCAGGTGCAATAATAATGTGAGCAATAACCCCGTCGCCTCAGTGAGGAGAGGCTTAACCTGCCTGCCCTTCCAACAGTGCTAGAGAGCAGTGTGACTGTTATGTTCATTTTGCAAACGTGGAAACTGAGGCCATGTGAGTTTGGAACCTGTCACTCTGGCTCCAGCCTCTGGGCTTTGGACGCTGCATTATATTCCCTAAGAAATCCCTCTCCAGTGCTTGCTTTGATTTACCTGTGTGCGTGTTTGTGTGTGCATGTGCGTGTGCGTGGGGGGGGGGGTTATGTATATGTATGGCACATGAATAGGTAGTATGTGTATTGTGTGTGGGGTGTGTGTGTGTGTGTGTTGTGTTTGTGTGGGCTCTTTCTACATCTGGACTCTAATCTGGTTCTTTTTGGGGGAACCTGAATCTAAGAGCCCCAATCAGCAGGCCCCCTCAGAAACTAGGCAGTAGGAATACCTGCAGTGAGGCAGTGGGCTCTGTTTTGATTGCCAAAATTACAGTGCATGGGCTTTGCCCATGCCAAACAAGTGCTCCACCGCTGAGCCACATCCTGGCCCAGGATTTTCTTTTTTTTTTTTTCCGGTTTTTCTCCAGTACCGGGAACCGAACTCACGACCTTGCGCTTCCCAGGCAGGCGCTTTGCCGCTGAGCTAAATCCCCAGCCCCTGGGATTTTCTTTTTAATCCAAATCAGCAGCCAATATTTAAAAATTAGGAGACTACAGTGAGAAAAAAAAATTCACTTTAAAGTTCCTTCAGAATTCTAAATGCCTGACACCAGTGGCCCAGTGCTCTGCCAGCCAGAGCTGGGTACTATGTGCCAGGCACTGCCCAGGGCAACCATTCACTCACTGACTCTAAGTGCTGTTCTTATCTTCATTTTACAGAGGACAAAATCAAGGTCCACGAAAGTCAAATAACTTGCCCACGGTGAAGTAGCTAATGCAGGGATCCAGAGGCCTTGCTCCTGACCCCTGGGCACCACTGCTCCAGATGTTTCCAGGAGAGTAAAAGCAGTCACTTTCCTCTGAGGGCAGCCAGGCTATTTGGGGCCCTTCTCTGTTCAGTTCTGCTATCTACATGGTACATGGAGCCCTGGAGTTTGCACCCACCCCTAGCCACGTCAACGCTCCTTTGCTGCCATCCAGAACTCCTGGGAAAGCTTGGGACAGACTGTCAATCCCTGGCCCACCCCAGGGCTGCCACCACCCCCTTGCTGCCGGCATGGCCTCTGGAGGACTCACTGATGATGTCCAGGACGCTGTGCTCCGAGAAGGTGTACTGGTTGTAGCCTCCCAGGTCCCCGCGGAAGTAATACTTGCCACCCAATTCCGGGCTGAGGGCGCTGAGCAGGAGGGTGCAGTTGCGCAAGCCTAGGTCTCCCAGCAGGCGGCTGCGGCCCTGGAAGCTCTCGTGGACAACTTGAGTGCGGGACTTGAAGACCACCGGGGGATAGTTCTTGGGGTAGGGGCTGTTGAAATACCACACTCCGTGCACCACAGCTGGCCGGAGCTCGTCAGGGAAGTCGAAGCGGCAGGGGATGGAGACGCATGTGCCTTCGAAGGCCGAGATGGACGAGGGCATCCAGGCGCCCCAGTGACCCCCTCTGGAGGCTGTGGGCAACCAGGACCGCCGAGGCTAAGAGATGAACCCCACCCAATGATGCCTCCAACTCCCATCACCTGCCACTGGCCTGAGGGTCCTGGGACCAAGGCTCAGTTAACCCCAGCACCCCTTACCACAGCCATTACCTGAAATCATAATCCAGAACAGAGGCAGTGCCGTGAGGAATATCATTTTATATAGCAAGTAAGCGAGCCGGAGCTGGACAGGAAGAGAAGCAGGTTAGAGGCCAGAGAAATGAAAGGTGGAGCTTCCTGAAAGGCTTAGGAAGAGACCCTTGCAGAGCTTAGCTGCTGCTGCTCTTATTTACGGTCACAAATGTGCCTGTGACACTAGCCATACGCCGGGCTCAGCACCTCGCTTTGCTACATTAACTCTGATTTCTTTGAGGTAGGTGCAATCATTATCCTCATTTTATAGCTGAGGTCCAGAGAGAGCAAGTAACTTGCTCAAGGACACACAGCTGCTCTGGAGTCTTAGTCAGCAAGCTGATAATAATCATCAGTGACATTATGCTCCTGGGGATCTCCAAGAACCAAGGACAGAGCCAAGGCTGGCCAGCAGCAGGAATGGGAAGCAAGGCAAACCAGGAAGAAGGGGAGTTGGTATTCTGTCCCTTACCTCCGGCTCCCTGAGTTGGGAATAGCTTCCGGTGCCACTTGGGACTGTGAATCAGCCAACCTGGAGAAAGCCAGACAGGTGCCTGGGCATGGGGGCCTGAGTCCCAAGTGTCCCTCTCTTTAGATAGCTACTGTGGGTTGTGGTTTGTGCTAAGCCTGCCCATGTGGTCTCTGTTGCCCACAGTGCCTGGGAGCCTCCCACACAGCCACAAAGCTCCTCTGTGGCACCACCCCCAGCTGGGATGTTGGGGAGCTACGGGGAGGAGATGGGGAACAGTGGGTCAGGTGGAAGGGTGGGGGGCGTGGTGGGTGGGGTGAAGGAGCAGATGTCCCACGGCTGAGCCCTGGGGGTGGCAGCAGGGACCCAACCTCATCAATGACTGGGTTTCACAACATCAGCATTCCCAACATGCCGCGTGAATTCCTGCCGCCCTCTCCTACCCTGCAGCCGGCCCCTGGTGTCCCAACCCTCACCAGAGGCCAGTGCCCAGTACAAAAGAACCCTGTTCCCTCAAGGCGAGTGTGCCTCATCCTGGGGGCTCCTGGGGTAGGTGGGCTGTGAGAGGAGTCGGCGCTTCTGACTAGGCTCTGAGTGGGGACAGGGAGGCCTCAGGGTTAGTGAGTCCCTGGTCCCCAGCTGCTCCACGGATCACGTCAGGGCTGGAGCCAGGACTTCCAAGTGGCCGAATTCCCCAGCCTTTGCTGCCCTCTTCCCACGGGCACAGACGTATACGCAGACACATGCAAACTCTGGCATGAAATGTGACAGCCAGGAGCAGCTCGCACAACGGAGACACTGAGGACACGCCCAGCACGCAGCCTCCGTGCCCACCGCTCAGTCTCCAACTGTGCACCACACCCTGGGCAGACCTAGGGACGGCATTCAGAGGCACACGTGCTGCCGGTGTGCCATGCTCACAAGACACAGGGACCGGCACATACACACTGAAGTGTAACCATGGACCCGGGCACAAGCCAGCAGACTCATGGCAGATGCCGTCCTTGTGCCTGCAACAGCAAAGCACAGGAGACAGATGCAGGTGAGGACCAGCCACACAGCCTGGGCAGACATGGGAAACAAGCATGCAGACCATGCACTCTTTTTTTTTGAGACAGGGTCTCGCTAAGCAGTTCATGCTGGGCTTGAACCCACTATAGAACCCATGCTGGCCTTGAACTCTCAGCAATCCTCCTGCCTCAGCCTCCTGAGTGCTGGGATTACAGGCATGCGCCAACACACTGAGCAGACCGCACACTGTTAATGGGGTTGGACAGAAGCAATCTTGGCTATGTCCATGGTCTGCAGCTCTCTAAAAGGCCACAATGCATAAACATACAGACAGACAATCTGCCTGCAGTGCTGAATTTGCAAGCTGGAGGAGTAGGAAAAACACATCTACAAAGTTCCTTTTCCAGAGTGTAATGACAAAGTTGAGAAACACTGATAAAGAATAGTTTGCAGAGGAGGTGTGCACGCACTCGCGCGCACGCACACACACACACACACCTGCTGTGGACCCAGGTGCCAGAATTTGCCTATTCACACCCCACTGCCCTCTCCACCTCCCAGACTGCAACATGCAGGGCCCTGATCACCTGAGCATCCTGTTCTTTGCTGACCCTAGACCACTGCCCCTTCATCTGTCCCAATCTTAGGGGCCCCAGGGCAGCCGCTGCAGCAGTCTCTAACCATGTGGTGTGCTGGGTGGAACCACTTGCTCTTCCTTCCCGTAGTTTCTTCCCAAAGCCCCATCCCTGTCCCTACCATGGTCCCTGCCCATTTTATAGGAGTCCCAAGCCATTCTGGACCCCGTCCTAGTTCAGCGCTATTTGCAGAGACCCTCCACGGCCCAGAGCCCCTCACCCCTTGCGCATGCTCTGAGAGCCACTTGGCCTGTCCACTTGTCCCCTCGGGGTTCTCTGCCCTCCCGGGGCTCAGTCCTCTCCACCTCTGTACTCACTCAGATGCTCTGGCTTCTGCGCCCTCTGTGCCGGCAGCCCCGCTCACAGTCCCCTGGCCTCCCAGGGTCTAGGCCCCCACTTGCCGGCCCCTCCCCTCCTCCTGGGTGCCAGGGGCCGCCTGCCTCCAGGGCCCAGCTCCTCCCTGCCCCCGGGGGAGGGGGGCACAAAGGGGCCCTTGTCACCACGGGGCTTGGACTGGACGGCCTGATGCCTGGGTTCTACTAGCTCCTTCCTGAAGGGGATGGGGGCTGCCTCACTCCTTCCCCCCTCCTCCATCACTGTGTGCCCCAATGCTGGGTCCCTGGAGGGGGATTTGGCTAATCTATCTGGAAGTCCCAAGCTGAGGGACAGAAGATGTTGTCCTCAGGGAACTGGTGGCAACATTACATGTGACACTGATCCTGAGAGACAAGCAGAAGGAGGAGGAGACAAGCCCTTCCCTCCTCGGCTCCAGTGTCACCTGCATCCACCATGTCTAGAGTCATCCCCACCCCAGCCCACCCCCAGCTCCCCTGGCCTGTTTTCCTCTTGGCTCTTCTTGTCATGCAGAATGACCTGATGTGTTACCTGCCTCCTCCCATGAGAACACAACCTCTACGGGGACCAGGGTTTATCTGTGTTATTCTGTGTCTGTCCCTACTTCTTAATGAACATGGAGTGGGTGGCCAAATGTATTCTTCAAATACCCCCTGGTGGCACCTGGTGCTCCTCCTCCCTGGGAAGCTGTCCTCCACCCACCCCACGCCCCACTCAACCCTGGCCACAGACTCTTTGCACTTTCGCTTGGATGTCACGTCCTCAGCAGGCCTTCCTTACTTTTCTCGTGATTTAAATGATGTCCTTTCCTTCATTGGGATTCAGCCTGTACTCTGCTTCCTACCTCATCTGGAGTCCTCAGAAGGCAGGGTTTGGCCAAAAAACATCTGTCTGTCCATGCACCCTTGGGTCCCTAGAGCAGTGCTTAATGCACAGGGAGCCGTCCGGCTCTCTGAGTGGATGAGGACCCCTAGTTGTGGATATTGTGCCCTTCCCCTTAGTATGACCTTTGCAAGGTGTAGGGGGTGCTGGAGGTGGTGTGACTAAGAGCACAGGGCTTAGACATGAGAAGTTCAATGTGCCAGGGTGAAGGGGAGGTGGGGGAGGAGGGTCATTTCTCCCAGGGGAGGATGGGGTGAGGGGTGGGGAAATCCCTCGGACCAGGGAGCGGAAAGCTGAAGGGGGAGGGGGAGTCCCGCCCCCACCTTGGGCTTCATGATGTCAGACTCAGCCCGTGCCTTTCCCAGTCTGGCACAATGGCCCATTGAAAGTAGGGTGCGGCTTGAACGCCTGGATCCTGGAGAAGAGAAAGGCCTAGTGCCTGGGCTTTGGGGGAGGATACCGAGACCCAGGTAGTCTCTGTCACAGCCTTGCATCCAAGCAAACCTGGCTGGGGTGCTGTGTTTGTGCGGTTGGGACTGCGGCTCCTCTCTAGGTGCAACCGCAGGCCGTTCCTGGGAGGACAGATGCACAGCCTGTGTCCCACACAGACCGCCTGGGCTCTAGCCTGCAGGAGTGAGCCAGGTTGGGGTAAGAGCAAGTGAGTGAGGACAATGGGGGCTGCAAAGCAAGGCAGCAGGGGTCCTGTCCAAGAGGGACTGTCCAGGTAGATCCAGGTGCCAGTGCTGCCCAGTCAGAGGAGGTTTCAGGAGAAAGCAGGTGTATTAGTTTGCTAAGGCTGCTATAACAAAGCACCACAAACCGTGTGGCTTAAAAACCAGAATGCAGCCAGGTATGGTGGCGCATGCCTGTGACCCCAGCACTTGGGAGGCTGAGGCAGGAGGCTAGCCAGAGTTTGAGACCAGCAAGGGCTACATAATGAGATCAAGACCAGCCTGAAATACAAGGTGAGACCTTGTCTCAAAAAACAAAATAATACAAAAAGAAGCAAAAAAAAAAAAAAAAAACCAAAATGTACTGTCTTACAGCTTTGGAGGCTTGAATTCCAAAATCAAGGTATTGGCAGCGTTATCTCCTTTTGAGGACCGGAGCAGCGGGGATCTGTGCCAGGCTTGGAGATAGCCATCTTCATGTTCCCATGGCATTCCATCTGTGTGTCTATCCAGATTCCCCCTTTTCTCCAGGGCACCAGTCACACTGGACTAAGACCCAACATAACGGTCCTATTTTAGCTTGATTGCCTGCGTAAAGATCCCACCCCCAAACAAGGTCCCATTGTAAGGTAAAGGAGGTTAGCACTTCAACATGTGAATAATCAGCCCATGAAAGCAAGAATTTTGTGTGTGTGAAATACCCTGATATTTGGTTTCATTTATTGCCAGGCAGAAAGAAGCTTCATTCTCAATACTCAGAGTCTCTTGAGTGGGGGCTGGGGCTTGGTTCAAGCTGATACTGGATATGGGGATCTTGTGACCCAGAAGTGGCAAAGATGAGACGGGGCTAAATATTACAACACACACACTCCTGCCCACACAAAGCTTGCTGGGAGGAAGGGAAGAGAAAAGGGCTTCAGCTGCAGTGGGGCTTTAACTGAAGGGAGCCAGCAACTGGTCCAGATAGGGACCAAGCTACTGCTCCCCAACAAAGAGAGAAGTAGGTTTCTATTGATTTGCTAGGGTGAGCTAAAGCCTAGGAATTCCCACTGGCCAGGGATGCATTTCCAAAACAATGTTTCTTCTTGTGATGGATTTGGACCACCAGGTGGTCACTATTAACTGTGGAATTTCTGTGTCCAGCACCGTCATCCTGTGCGAGACCTCCCAGCCTTGTACTGAGTGGGCTCACACAGTCTGCTTTGCTCAGGAACTGCCGAGTTCCTCTCTCAGCTGTGTGGGATCAGCATGCCGCACACAGGTCCTGGCCTTATGATAGGGCTGAAGGAGTTTCAGGGCTTGTGCTGCTGAGAAAGTGTGGGGCTGGGCTGAAAGAAACACAGACCAGCTCCCATGGGCAGGAGGCCAAGCTGATCCTGCATGATAGTCATGGGTGAAACTTTTCTTAAATGATCAACACATCTCTTTGCAGAGCTGGGTGGAATCTGACACCCGGGTTAAGACAGCAAGGGGACAGACACACTGTGAAGACAGAGATGCCAAGCCCTTTATCCCATTTTAGTCACCCGTCAGACATCTGTAGGCCTGAGGGAAGGGTCGGTGTTCTCAGCAAAAGCAGCCATCAGGTCCCTAGTAAGTAACCCAGTCCCTGATAGCATAACACATTCAGCAAAGCCAGTATAGCTAATAACGTTATCGCCCAGCTGTGTGACCTCTAAAATTAGTGATCTTAAACTGACTAAGAGCAAGTGAAGCTAGAGGTGTTATTTAGGTTTTTTTCTTGGTAAAAATTTCTCATTTCACGCAAACACCCTGCATTTATGGTGCTTATAAAGGTCTCATTATGCCACTGAAACATGCCATGCTACAAGGGTGATAGTCTACCTCATTCAGGGGCTTATTTCATTGCCTCAGCCCTCTGTCCTACTGTTGCCCCACCATGGTGTCCCTCCCTGCCTCACAACCCAGAGGCACTTGCTGTTCTCAGGCAGGGCTGGCAGTTCCACACCAAGGATCCTGAAAGTGTGGTCCTGGCCAGCAGCTGCAGCCCTTGGGAGGGTGTTAGAAATGCAAGCTCTAGGCCCCAGTCCACACCCGCTGAATGGCTGAATGAGGATCTCCAGTAGGAGAGGCCCCACCATCTGCATTTCACTGGGCCCTCCGGGAGACTCCCTCTGATGCACACCCAAGCTTGCTTGCCTCTGCCTCCCAACTTTTCAGCCCACAGTCATCTGGATCTTTATATTACACCTCTCAGTAGCAATCACAGAGTCAAACAGAAAGGGCCTTTTACTGAGTTGAGCAAACCAGGAACCTGGGAAATATGGGGGCCAAAAATTCCCAAATTCCCAAGGACAAAGGTTTGCTGGCTTAGCTGGGGTCTTGGGCTACTCAAGAAGGTGGGGGGCTTTAATTGCCATTACCACTCTTGCTTTAGGGTACCATATATCAAAGCCTTGATATATGGGGGAGGGGAAAGGGGCCTCTAAGGGGAGGGGTAAGGGGTAGAGTTCATCATGATTTTCCAAATATTTTCTGGAAAACATGGGGAAAGAGGTGGATATTTTAGCTTTAAAATCAGGGTGGGCATAACATCACTGCTCTGGAGGGGTCTTCTCTCCAGTGTACCAGGTGTGCTTTTTATTCTGGGTCAGCCTGATGGGTGTGGTGGTCAGTGTCTTCCATTTTAGTGTCCTGTGTTTGTTGGGTTAAGTGAACTCAGCCTACTGCAAGAAGTCAGTGAAGGTGAGATTATAAGGCTACCAAAAATAGGCGGGACGACCTTAGGCTCTGGGGCACCCTCCATCCCTTCACCTGCCTCCAGACCGCCAGCCTTTCTAAGGTGAAAGGCAGAAGCTGGTGGTGTACAGAGATGATCTGGCTCCCAGCTGGGTTTAGCAGAAGGTTGATTTTAAAAAACAAGTTCTTAGGGGCTGGGGATTTAGCTCAGTGGCACAGGGCCTGCCTGGCAAGCGCGATGCCGTGAGTTCAATTCCCGGTACCGGAAAAAAAAAAAACAAGTTCTTACCTGAGTTTGGTGGCCCCAGAATTTTGGGAGGGTAAGTCCAGCTTGGCAACTTTGCGAGATCCTGTCTCAAAATAAAAACCTAAAAAGGCTTGGGATTAGAGCTCACTGTGAAGCCCTTGGGTTCACTCCCCAGTATGGCAAAAGCAAACAAAGCATAAGTTCTTTTAATCAATTGCCAATATGGTATTTTAAAAATCAGCACATTTCAAGCAGGGCATGGTAGTGCACATCTGTAATCCCAGCACTCAGGAGGCTGAGGCAGGAGGATTACCATGAGTTTGAGGCCAGCCTGGGCAGCATAATGAGTTTAAAGTCAACCTGAATTGTATACTAAGACCCTGTCTCAAAACAAACAAACAAACAAGGACATTTCATATAAAATAAGGCTTCTATCTTGTCTTGACAAAGTCAGAAGTGCTCGCTCGCAGGCATGGTAGCCACTTCTTGGAGCTCCCTTTTCCTGGGGCTCAGGGCTCCTGCCTCAGTACCATACTTAATAGTTTTTTTGTTGTTAAGTACTTAATATCGAGGCTAAATTGCCAATGCTCTTTATCATCATGCAGGAACTGCTGTAATTTTGTGAGCTAGGAAAGTAGTGAAATACTTGTACCATATCTTTCTCTGTATCAAAAGTAAGGCAATCGGGGGCTGGGGATTTAGCTTAGCGGCACAGCGCCTGCCTGGCAAGCACAAGGTCATGAGTTCAATTCCTGGTACCAGACAAGAAAAACCACAAAAAACCAAAAGTAAGGCAATCAGCATGAGAATGATATGGTTTTCAAGCAGAATGGGAAGGAAATTAATTCCTATGAAGAAGAATACTCCCGTGTTTCCTGTACAAACTTGTCCTTATTGAGAGAATACAACCTCCACCCCTATCCCAGGACTGGGGTTTGAATCCACAGCCTTCATACTGAGCTACATCAACAGGTCATTTTTTATTTTTCCATTTTGAGTCAGGGTCTTGCTAAGTCAGTGCATTGCCTAGGCTAGGCTTGTATATGTGAGGCTCTTGCCTCAGCCTCAGAATGCTGGGATTAGAGGTGTGCCCCATCACACTTGGCTGAGAATACAACAGGCTCTTTTTTTTATTTTTTATTTTTTTGGTTTTTCTCCGGTACCGGGAACCGAACTCATGACCTTGCGCTTGCCAGACAGGCGCTTTGCCGCTGAGCTAAATCCCCAGCCCCCTACAACAGGCTCTTATGAAACAAACTAATGCTCTTTACTCACTGTACCTTCCTAGTCCCCGATGGACAGTGATTCTCAAACTTTCTGGTCTCAGGATCTCTTTACAAGATTTTGTAGGTTATATCTACAGTTGCTTAATATATCAAAACTTGAAGAGCTGGGATGTAGCTTAGAGGTAGAGCACTTGCCTAGCATAAGCAAGGTCCTAGGTGTGATTCCTAGTACCACAGAGAAAAAAAGGGGCAGGGCACACAGGATACATAAGCACATAATCCATCAGCCAATGATGTCACCATGTCAGAGTCTTAGAAAAACCCCACGGTGTGAGTATTCGAGTGAAAATGGCAAATGATGTTTTAGTAGTTTCCACCGCTTGTGGCGCCTGGAGGGAACTCCTGGATCTTATTCAGAACTTTAGGCACTAGTGTTCGTGACCCCGTGTTAAGAAGACTCCAAGGAGGCTGCAAGTGTAGCTCAATGATAGAGCACTTGCCTAGCATGCATGAGGCCCTGGGTTCAATCACCATTACCACCAGCAAACAAAAAACAAACTTGCCATTAAGAAGACTGCAAGGAGAAGCAACTTTAACTTTCATTCTCTGCTGTTACAACATAATTTCCAGGTCTTTTGAAGCGGGGAGGCCCAGAAACAAATTTGTTTCACCAAGTTTTTTGGCAAGGTGCAGTATATACTAATCCAGTGCAGCCCACTGAGCTCTGGCCCTTGCAAGGCAGGGCCAGAATAATCCCAGGGTGTAGGCCTTTGGCGGGGAGAAAGGACAACGACACTCCAGTTTGAAATATAAAAGAACCAGCCATTTTATTCCAAGACCATTATTGGAGGGGGATAGGAATAAATAAGGGAGGGCGAGAGGGTTAGGGCAGGAGGCTCTATGTCTTGCAGCATATCCCACACTTCACATTTTTACAGCAGCCGCAGCAGAAAATGCAGATGGGAAAGTGGGTGTCCCGCTTCCTTAGCCTCTGCAGTGTGGGCTGAGAAAAGGGAGAGAGAGAGTGAGCTGGTGGCAGAGGGCAGGCTCTGGGGTCCAGGGCAGGAGTCTCAATTGCTCTCACCATGAAGCTGGCCTTGGCTTCGGCTGTGTCGTGGGACGGGAGGTCTGCAAGCTGCCCTGTCTAAAAGAGAAGGGCATTGAGGATGGCAGAGCTCTCAGGCCGCCCCTACCCACCTGCTCCTCTCCCAGAGGTTGAGAACTCATGGCCCAGCTGAACTCCTAGGAGGGGCCTTGCTTTCCTGCTCTTCTCACGCTCCCTTGGGCATAGTCACTACTCTCCTTGGATAGCACCCTCCCCTGTCTGCCTGCCAGCATCAGCCACTTGGAGCATCTCTGCCTGCATCTTGCCCCTTATAATCTCATCGTGGTGGTATAGCAGAATAACTTTTAATGTTACCCATCAGATCGCGGCTTTCCCCACTTTAGGCCAACAGGTTTCCCTGGCACTTATAGGATAAACTGCCATCTGCACAGTTGCACCCTGCACACCTTTGATCTCATCCCAGTACCACCCTCGCTTAGCCAGCTCTCTGATCTTCCAGTACCCGTGCTTGCCCCACCTTGCTGCTTGTTTGCTACCCCACCTGTGGCTCTCCAAGGCAGAGGCGCAGTCCCATTTTCTCACCAAACACTCCCAACTGCCAGCCCCTTGCCCCCACTCTGGTCCCCTACACCATCTTTCATGCTATTCATGAAGAACATTTACTAAATACAGTTGCTCATTTGTTTGAATCATTCATGGACTTACATACTGACCAGGATGTAAGCTCTGTAAGAGCAAAAACCTCTCTCTTCTACCGGGTATCTTGCTTTATCTTCACTGGCTGCAGGAAGACTTCACACAGAGTAGCCCTCAGTGATACCTGTACCGTTAGGTCCAAGGTCCCCCCATATCCCCGCCACGCTACCCCATCCTTGTTCTTCCAGCAGGTACGGCTCCCCCAGAGCTGACCTGAGCTCAGCAGTGGTTCCCCAGAGGTCTGGCTCTCCAATCCAGCTAGGACCCAGGCCCCCAGGACTCTCACCTGTGACTGGACAATGGAGCCACTGGTCAAGCTAGCGAGGAGGAGGACCAGGAGGCAGGCAGCCCGGATCTGAGTGTTCAGTGCCATCGCGCGTCTGTACAGTCAAGCTGCTGGTGGGTCTAGGACTTGCTCTGGTGTGTTGGGCTCAGTTACCATCTCTTTTATGAGGCCTGCTGGAGGAGGCGGTGGTCTGAGCCCCCACCCCTTTGCCCCAGCTCATTTCCAAGAAGGTGGTGGCGCCGTAAAGGCGGGAGAGATAAGAGGACAGGGGACAGAGTTGTGTCACCCTTGGCCGGCAGAGGTGTGTCTAGGGGGTGGAGCAGACAGGGCCACAGACACATTCCTCTGGCCAGCTACCTGGGAATACTTTCCTCCAGTGTGATGTCACCTTGTTGATCTCAGAAAAAAAAAAAAAAAAAAAAAAAAAATTCCCACTTTTGCCTCAGAAGTTGGAGAGCAACAGCACAGTGCCCCTCGCTCCCATGCTTCCTGGACGCCCGCATTCCCTCGTTCAGGCCGGCGTGGCTGATGGGTCAGCACAGCTACAGGGAGTGGTATCCCATTGTTCTGGGGTCTCTACATGTGCGTAGCTTTTGGGAAGAACGCTGGATAGCCAGGTGCCTGACTACAGCTCATGCTGGCTGAACTTCCCCCATGCACCTTTCTGAATAGCAAATTTTGAAACATGGTGCTAGTGGCTGGAAAATGACCACAGAAGGTTGGCATTAAACCAGCATCTGACGCGTGTGTTTATATTCCAGCACATTAGTTAGCTTTTGGGTTAGCCATTGCCACCTGGTCTCCACGGAGCTCTTGGGCTTTGCTCAGAATTTTGAGGTCTCAGCTGCTTTCTCAGCCCCTGACCCCAGAGGTGACTTCTCTGATGCCAAGTCTCGTGATCTTCATTGCCAAGCTCTCTACCTCCCCGAGACACAGAGGGGCACTGTGACTGACCCTTTTATCTGAGTTGCCATTCAATGCTATCAATTGGGACCAGCAACGTGGGGAGTATTTACACCACAGGAAATGGCAACCACCAGGGCTTTTTAAGGGTTGGTTCCCTAGGATGCCCCTGGCTGGGGGATGAACCAAGGCTGACTGCAGTGCCTTCATTCCTGTCTACCTGGCCCACCTCACAGCACACTCATTTCAGGGGACCCACAAACCTTCATTCCAGAGATGGCCCCTGGCAATCTTGCCTGACTTGCGCCAGGGCTATCCAGCATTAACCCTGTTGCCAGAGCCCAGGGAATGATACTGTCAACAAACACTTCTTCCTGGACCCACTTGAAACCATGAAAACGGATGTGCCCTGGCATGGAAGGCTGCTCTCGGCCTTGTTCACTCCACATGCCAGCTAATTGTGCCACACTCCCTTCAAAAGGGAAAGCCCAGGCAGACGTTACAGTGCTTCGCGTAGTGGCAAGATGGGGACCTCAGCAAGGTGAGCAGCTGGCAGGCCCAAACCCTGGGGGGATGGACTGAGGAGGGGCGGCACACCGACCCCCGGGGGAAGCAGCAGCATCCTCGAGCCGCAGCAAACGCTGCTGCATTGGCTCAGGCCAGGTTTCATCATCAGCCAGGGGCAGGGGTCACAACACAGGCGCCAGAGTCCCGGTGTGCGGCGACAGGCTGCCGGGCCAAGCCTGGCTTCCTGGCCATCTGCCCTCCCCGGGGGTGGGGGGCTCAAGGCCAGGCCCCATCATTGGCTGGTGCAGAGGGGAGGGCTTCAACCCACAAGGGCAGGGCCAGGAATCAGGCCTATTTTCAGGAACTGGTGACGGGGAGACCCCAGCCTCTCCTCCAACAGCATGGGACATGTCCTTGACCCTGGGTCCTCCCACCCCAACCCTGCATCTGCACCCTTGGGGCCTCAGAGAGGATATTCAATCCTTAATTCCTCCATCCATCTGACCAGTGGACGGGGCATCAGACGTGTCAATGGCAGAGACTGGTACACTGCCACAACACAACAGCTGAAGTCCTGGCCTTGGGCAGCTCTGCACTGACCCTAGTCCCTCCCCAGGCCTGAGACAGACAGACACTGACAGACAAGGCGGGGGCCACATGGGGCCAGTTTATTGCAGTTAAATACCTCTCTCTCTCTCTCTCTATTTTTTGACCATTTTTCCATAAAGAAAATTAAAACACACACACACGCACACACGCACGCACGCACGCACACACCCCCAAAGGGGAGCAGGGACCCAGAAACAAGAGGTGGGGTGGGACACGGCCTTCCTGCTTAGGTCCAGGCCCCAGGGTAGCCCCCCCAAAGCTCCCTCCTTCCCATAAGCACCCTGTCTCAGTACCTCTAGAGACCAAGGAGGCAGCAGGAAATGGCAAGGCCTCTGTCCTCCTCCCTCTCGCCCCCTGGTGAGGCCACCAGGGGTGCTGGGGCTTGGGGAGGATCAGAAAAGGGAGGCAGACAGACAGGTGGGGAGGGGGGTCATTTCCAAGTTGAGGAGGGCAGTGGGTAATGTATCCACAGAAATGCATTATTTCATTTCATTTTTGTTAAAAATCTACTATAAAAAAACGCAGCTGGGGGAGGGGCACATGTCCCTCTCTGTGCTAAGGGCTGGGGGCGGGGCGTCATGGTGGAGCGGGCATCACTGCCGGGCACTCTCGCCCACCATCTCCAGGTTGTGCTGCTGCAGCTGGGCTCGAAGCAGGGCATTCTCGTTCTTCAGCTCCTCGATCTGTAGGTGCGACAGGGCACAAGTGAGTCAGGGGCTGGCTTCTGGGTCCTGGAGTTCCCAGGCTACCCATACTCACCTGTTGCCTCAGGAGCTCGTTGTCTACCTGCAGCCGCTCGGCCTCCTTGAAGGTCTCCTGCATGCGCTGGTTGGTCTGGCGCAGCTCCCGGATGTAGTCGCAGGCCTTCGACAGGATGCCCCCTTTACTCTGGGATCGGGGTGGGCAAGAGCATCAGATGGAGCACTGCCCACTGGCCCATCCCAGGAGAGCACCAGTGCTGTGGGTCAGCCAGCCTTCCTGGAAAGGGCTGGGAAACTGGCACCAGTGCAGCAACAGAGAGCCAGGTAGCCTCCTAGCCGGAGGGCAGGGGACACTTACCGCTCCTGTCTTGCTATTGTCTGCATTACAATCTGGAATGATTTTTGAAAGTTGGACGATCCAGTTGTTGATCTTGTCCCTCCGCCTCCGCTCCACTGCAACAGAATGGCAGTAACAACGGCTACCCACAGCACAACTGCCCCTGCCTGACAGGCTGCCGCAAAGGACAGGCACTGTCAGCCCTGAGCACAGTGAGGCCTGGTACAGGCACAACCCAAGGCCACAGTGCTAGGAAGTGCAAAGGCAGAAGCCTGGCTGCACTGCTTCACAGGAGGACAAGAAGTAACACCCCAACCTCGAGGACCACATACCCTCAGCCAGAAATCAAAAGCTACAGACTGCGGGGCATGGTGGCACATCCCTGTAACCCAACATTCTGGGAGGCTGAGGCAGGAAGACTGAAAGTTCAAGTTTAGCCTGGGCAACTTAGTAAATTAACAAGACTCTTGTTTCTGGAAAATAAATGAAAAGCTCAGTTTTGTTTGTTTGTCTGTTTGTTTGTCTTTTTGAGACAGGGTCTCGCTATGCTGTTCAGGCTGGTCTTTAGCTCACTTTGTAGCCCAGGCTGGTCTCAAACTTGCAGTGATCCTCCTGCCTCAGCCTCCCAAGTACTGGGATTACAAGCGTGCAGCACCACACCCAGCTCAGGATGTAGCTCAGTAATGGATTTAATCCCCAGTACTGCAAAGCACAAAAAAAAAAAAAAAAAAAAAAAAAGCCCTAGGGATTGTGACTGCTTTCTTAGGCCCATCCAGCATATTTATGAAAATCTTAGTTATTTAAAAATTAAGAAATTTCATGTCATAATGATCATTTCTGGCTTCTTTTGGAAAATTGCCTCTCTGGACAGAGTGGGCCCATAATAGGTTAAGAAGGGGTCAGAGCCCCTTTACATAGGACCCAGTAACACTATGGCTTCCACAGCCCTGGTGTGGATTCGCCACATCTTCCCAGAAACTCTAGGTCCCCTGATCTTATTTTTCTCACCTGTAAATGAAATCTGATCATGCCTTCTGCAGGGCCCTGGCAGCAGGTGCCAGCTCCCCAGGACTGGCACTGCGGCTCTCAGAGGCTCGGCCCCCCAGGCTTTGGCTTCTAGGAACAACATGGCCCTACACACCGAAGGCAAGGATGGCAAACTGATGCAGAAGCTCACTTGAGAAGTCCAGATTCGGGATTTCGTAAAACTCCACGATCTCCCTCACAGCCACGTACACCTTCCCTCTGGCCCATGTCTCATCCTTAGGCTGCCCCTAGAGGGGCAGCACACGTCTGAGCCAGAGACCCCAGTCTCACAGCCTACAAGTGCAGCTGCCCAACCTTCCAGGAACTTCTGAGCTCAGGACTACACTGTGGGGCACAGAAGGCCTTCATATCCCCTACTTCTTCCACACACCTCTGCCTGCTTCCCAGGAAGGTGTAAGACGTGTGCAATGTGTGTGAAAGGGATGGGGCCTACGGTTAGGTGAGATCTGGAAAACAGGGTAAGGGAGCACTTCATGAGGGGTGGGCAGGGAACCTGGGGGAGGGTGTTCTTCTCCTGAGCTCAGCACGGCCCCAGCCCTGCCCTGCCCTGCCCTGCAGGAGTGCTCCTGGCCCCTAGGCGGGCACAGGCCACCCCTTCTCTTGGTCCTGTCCCTCTACTACTGCAGACCTGCCCTCACCACCTCCAAGTGTCCCCCACTTGGACTGAGAGGCCCACCCGTGAGCATGCTCCTTCCTGCACTCTGACCACTGCACACTGTCCCCGGACCCTCCTTTCACTCTCATCTTTCTCAGCACGGCACACCATGCCGAGTGACACTGTGGGGGCTGGGACGCATCTTCACAGGCTCCCAAGAGAGCAAAGGGCCCTATTACAGCCACAGTGAGCATAGATCTGCCACCAGGTACAGCCACCTCTGATGGAACACCAGGGCCAAATGCATCAACAAAGCTGACAGTCTCCGGTCCGGGTCTGGTGCACTACTACCATGTCCCTCTGCAGTGTGCCCCTCCTACCCCAAAGTCTCAACGACACCCCATTCCATACAGCCTAATGCTCATGGAGCTGGGCACTGAGCTGCAGCCCCAGCTCACAGGTCCTGTTCATTTCCAGTCATTTGCACTTCTGAAAAACCTAACCGCCTACCTTGCCACAGGCAGGGTGGCACCAAACCCACTCTGTCATGCTGGTGTCACAGCGCCACTGTGAAGCGCCTACGACAGGTCCTACCAACCCCACTGTGTACAAGGTGCCTGGGGAAGGCAGAAGGGAGGGAAGCAATGCTTCCTGCACAGCCTGGGCATGCGATGACTCCTCAGAGAAAGGCTGAGCAATGATGGATTTAGCGACTGAACGGAGCCACACCAGGCAGCCAAGCAGCAAGACCCCAGAAATGGGGACACGGGAACACGCCAGGGGCTGTGGGGTGGTGGGCAGGGGGTAGGAATAGGCCTGCGTGCCTTCCTGCTTTGCCTGTGGAGTTGCAGCTCATCTCCTCCTCCAGGGCCTCACTCCTGGTGTTCAAGGCTGCATTAAGCAGGCTGGGCCACGGCAGGGCTATGCCTTGGGAAGACCGCCGGGGCACATTCGAAAGGCAGGAAGACCAAGGCTATGTCAGCTCCATGGACGCACGTCAGTGACCCCACACAACACTAAACACGCACTGCAGAGCAAAGTCTGCAGAGACTGAAGGCAGATACGGCAAACTCACAAGCTAGTTGGAGACACCAGCTCTCCTCTCTTACCTGACAGAACAAGTAGACAAGAACTCAGGATACAAGACGCAAATATACTCAACAATACAGCCTCTGTGATCCTGAGGGAATCCCTCTCCCATAGGAGCAGAAACACGTCCCTGCCATGCACACGCCAAGCCAGGCCATATTCTGCCTCTGAGACAGGTCTCAATAAATTGAAGGAACTGAAACCATGTACAGTATGTTCCCCGACCACAAAAGAACTAAATTAAAGATCAAGTATCAAAAAGGTATCCAGAAAAATCCACAAATATTTGGGAATTAAGCAACACTTCTGGGGCAGGGGATATAGCTCAATGGCACAAGTGCCTGCCCGGCAAGTGCAAGGTCCTGAGTTCGATTTCCGGTACCAAAAAAATAAAAAGCAATACTTTTTAAATAGTCCCAGGAGTCAAAGAAGAAATCACAAGAAAAACTGGAAAGTAGTTTGAACTGAACAAATACGAAAACACAATAGATACAAACGGGATGCAGCAGTAGAGGAACATCTGCAACTATAAATATGTTGCAGGAGGAAGGTCTAAAATGATAAGAAGTAAAGAGGGGGAGCAAAGACTAAAACTCAGCAAATTAAAACGTAAGTAAGTAAGAGAAATGAATTAGTAACATTAATAGTGAAAAACAACAACAAAGAAAAACTAATTCAGTCTGGCCTTTAAGAGTCAGATTTCACATAAAGATGTGAATTTCTGACAACACTGGGCCTAAATTCTACCACAACAGCAATGGACTGACCTGCAAGCCCCAGTTCAACAGGATCCCCACCCTTCCGTCATACAAGGGACACTTCACTCCTTCAGTCTCCCTCCCCTCTCCCTCCCCCAGGGCATCCTCTCGGAGGGGCTCCCGCAGAACCCAGAAGCAGAAAGTGGGGAAGAGAGGGAGTTGCTGGCATGAAATCCACTTCAGCACAGAATCTTGAGGTGCGCAGACACGGGCTGAGAAGTGGGCAGAGTGACAGCCACGCTGGCCTTCGCTCCTGTCACAACAGCTGTGACAGGGCTGCCTGTGCTGCTCTGGAGAGGGGAAGGAGGCAGCAAGCTCTGTGTTGCAAAGCTGAGTTTGAGGCATCTCAAGGATGGCCAGAGGCTGAGATTCTAAAATGCACTTTGAAAAGGGGCCTGGAATTTGAGAAAGGGTGGCACAGAAATGCTTTCGTGTATCACCAGCTTCCGGATGGAGGGGGACGCCCGGGAAAGACATAGAGAAGCAGTTCTCACCTTGCTGTGAGAGACAGATTTCTCAAGAAAAGAAAGAATAGGTGCTTATAACTGGGGATGAGTTTTGGGGATACCAATCAACCAGTTTCCAAGCGCTACTCCTGGGCCCCATGAGCCATACCCCCGGGACAGATGTAAAAAGAGGCCATACCTTAAGAACCCCAGCAGCCAAAATCATCCCTAGCCTGCCTAAAGTAATAGGCTGGGAAACTTGCAAGCACAGCTTCCCGGGCCTCCCCTGTTATCTAGTCACTGCGAACCTCTGGGAGAGCCCTGGAGACTGACTGTTAATGAGCCTTCCAGGAAAAGCTGAGGGGGGCCCTGCTCTGAGGTTCAAGTGGAAGGAGAAACAAAGGCAGTAAGAAAATCAGAGAGGGTAGCGCAGAAGAAAACATTCCGAAAGAAAGGAACAGGCAGGGCCAGGTGCCTGGACCTCAGGCAGGAAAGGAGGCCAGCGGATTTGGCAACGAGGTCATCACAGGTGATCTTTAATGGAGCCAATCTGGTAGGGCCAGTCAAGGGGACCGGGCAGACAGCAAGTCAAAGGTTCTGCAGCTGGAGGGAAGGGGTCACAGCGAGGCTGAGAACTACCCAGGACGACCTGGCGGTGGGTGGATTCAGGCAGAGGCAGAGCGCAAGGGGCAGGAAGCGGGCTGCGGGGCGCACAGTGCCACACGACAGTCTGACTGTGCAGCATGCCACACACTGTTGTACCTCAACCTGTAGCATGCTCAGCAGGAGGCTTGGGGTGGTCAGTGTCGTTTTAAAGAGGACAGGTATACAGATTAAAACCATCCCGAGGCTGCGTGGCCAGAAGTGGTGGACCTGGGGCTACTTAGTAGCCAAGCTCCGACTCACCCTTCCCCTTCAAAGCAATCTGACCTCAGCACGAGGCCCTAATCTTCAGCTCTTCTCCCCACACTCTTCCTTTTTATACCCTGCTGTCAGGCCGGACACCTGTGCTTACCTATGGCCGTCCTGGCCTCTGGCTTCCCCTCCCACCCTGGCAGGGCTTCTCGCAAGATGCTGTGGGCTCTGGTAGCCCCCACCTCAGCTCTGCCACCTTTTCTTTCCTGAGTTCTGTTCTTCCTCAAACACACTTCGGGCCTGAGTGTTTGCACATGTTCTTCCTGCTGTCTGGGACTCTTCCCCAGGTCCCAGAGTGGCTTGTTCCTCACGGTGTTCTCCGGCTCTTGCTCAAATTTTACCCCCGAGAGGCCTTCCGAGCACACAGAATCCTGTTCACTTCCTCACCAGCTTCTCTCTCTTCAGAAGCCCTATTGTGCCACCTCATGTTACGCTGTACGTAGCTTCTTTCTCCCACCACAGTGATGCTATGACAGCTGAGACCACATCTATCCTATCATCCAAGCACCCGAGGGCTCCAGAGAGCGGCCAGCTCAGGAACACGCATGTTGGCCAGAGGTCTGAAGCCAGCAAGCTCCCTCGCACAGAGCCACACAGCCCCACACCCACATCAAACTGCAGGACACAAGGCCTCAGCCTGGCACTCAAGGCCTTTCCTGACCCTCCTGAGTCCCCTCCCAGGGCAACCACAGGAACGCTGCCACACCAAGCCAGCACCCAAGAAGCAACCTGACCCTCCACTTCGTGCTCCCTCTGACAGGTGGACATAGGCTTGTAGGGGAATCCTTGCCCAACCCCCTCGGCCACAGGCCCTCCGTCTGTCGAGCCTGTGACACTCCAGGTCAGGCTCCAGACCTGGCACAGGGCCCACGCTGCCCAGCTTGGATCCAGGGTCAGTAAATATTTGTCAAATGTTAGTTATTTGGGTGTCACTGCTCCCTTGGCGTCTGCAGGCTACTATGTCCACCGATCAAAGTGACCAACTGAGATGGAAACAAGAACAACACTCAAGGACAAACGAGCTCAGGGTGTGACATGCTGTTTCTGGAAAGGGCAGGCTGCTTGGGCCTTGGCTGGCCAGCAACACAGCTTCCTGTAGCTTCCTCCCGCAGGACCCAAAGTGCTGCCAGATGGAGGGCAGGAGGCATGGGAGTGAGAGGCAAGGGCGCAACAGCTGCCATGGAAGGCTGGCCAGGGGTTGGCAGGTCGACCCAATTTTTCAAAACGAGCAGGAAATTCATACGTGAACATTAAAGCAGCTACTTTAGATGCTGGCTATTACTTCAAAAGCATGAGCCAGGCACGAGCAAACACTTGGCCAATTTCACGCCCTCCACCTCTGCTCTGTACACCAGCCTCTCGCCTATTTCAACTTTTCTGATATTCAACAGACACATCTCAAGCACTTGGGATGCATCTGGCAGTGGGCCAGCGCTGCTTCCCTGTCCGTGACTCCAGATGTCAGGACTGGTTGGGGATGGGAGGCTGCGGCCTGGGCAGGCCTTGCCTACCCCTTGCCCTTACCTTCATTGTGCTGAGCTCTCCGTCTCTCGTCCCGAGGTGTTCTGGTTCCGTCAATTTTTCTAGAAAGGAAAAAAAAGTGGGCATATATCATCTCAGACCTACGTGCCCAAGCACTTACTAAACAGTCACTTAAATCATTATGTTTGCAAGGCAAACATATACACGAAACAGGGAAGAAACTACTTTTTAAGCAGGGCAGGCTAAGAAACATCCCATGCCTGCTGTGTGCCAACCTGCCTAGCTCCCAGGCCAGAAAACCCTCCCTTCCTTCAGCCCCAACAGCAGATCCTCCCAGTGTCCCCTGCTCCTGGGACCAACACTCCTGCACCTACGGAGAGTAGGGGTGTGTCCGGGGTGCAATCGTCCGTTGCGTTCCTGTCTGAAGCACGTCCTGAGGTGTCATCATGACATAGAACTGGCCTGTAGTGACAGCGTTGGTTAATAGCAAGACAAGGGCAGAGCTGGACATAGTTGGGGGCTTCCCTGCCTGCCAGGTCTATCGCCTCCCCTGCCTTCATCCCCAGCCCTTCCTCCTCTTACCTCCGGCCTGCAAACTCTGGTCTGTGGTCTGTACAGACACGGCCGTTGTATCTCCCACACTGGATGCTGGGAAGTAGGCAAACCGTGCCTCACCACTGACAGCCTCAGCAGCTGGGCTGCCACCATTGCTGAAGGGATTTTGGATTACAGCCTGGAGAACAAGAGGACAGAGGCTGCCCTCAGCCATCTCCCCATCCATCCCGCTTGTTGCTGTGTTGGTGGGTAGTACCTGCTCTACAGAGAGGGGGAGCCCCTCGGTCCTGTGTCTCAGACACCCCTGAAGCTGCACAGGTACTCAGTCACCATTTGCTGGGCCAGTTCATTTTACTCTAAGAGGCTTTCCTCCAAGAGACATCTCTTTTTTTTTTTTTTTTTTTTTAGTTCTTGGGACAGGGTCTTACTATGTAGTCCAAGCTGAGGACTTCTAGCTACACTTTGGCCTCAGACCCCCACGTGCTGGGAGTATAGGTGTGGGCTACCACACCTGGCTCATCATCCCCAGCTTACATTAAAAAAGGAAGAATCAAAACAACAACATACAGCACTACAATTCAGGGTACACAACAGGGATCTGACCCCACAGGTCTCACACCTTGAAAGCAGCATCTGTCTGCCATCTGCCCCACCCCCTGGGGCTCCCTAAGGGCAGAGTCCCCTTCCCCCACCCCCAAGATGCTGGGCACCTACCAGCGGGAAGGGTGCGGCGGGACCTGGGGGCACAGAGGCAGCAGCGGGGCCGGGGCGCTGGGCTGCCCCGTCCACACCCACCTGGGTCACAGCCTGCTGCCCCCCCGCGAAGGCAGCTGTGGACACGACGCTGACGGCGCCAGCTGTGTCACCCTGGCCATCCAGCTGACCATCAGTCACCTGGACTACGCGGTATGTCACCTGCAGGGGGCGGCAGAGCGATGAGACGGGCCCTAGGGCTGAGGCTGGGGCCGGGTCTGAGCCTTTCCCAGCACGCCCGCCCGTCCGCCCTGGCTCAGCCCTCCGTCGACCGGCGGGCGCCCGGCCCGCGCCTCACCTGTCCTCCATTATTCTCTGTGCGGAACTGGTACTGGATGTTGTGGTCGCCGAACGCCGCCTGCTGGACGCTGGCGATGGCCACCGCCGTCTGCTCCTCCGCCCCGGGGCCGTCCCCGCCTGCGGTCGGAGGAGGGTCGGGAGGGTCCGCGCCGCCGGGGTCCGCGCGCCCAGCCCCTTCGCAGGCCCAGTCCCGCCGCGCCGCAAACACTCACCTTCCTGCAGCTCGACGCCCTCCTCGGCCTCGGGTCCCTTGTCGTGGCTGCGCGGGCACAGGAGGGGCAGAGGTGGGGCCGGGGTCCGGGCTGCCCGCGCCCCCGCCCCGG